CCCAGTTATAAGATGTCAGGGGTTAAAATGTTCGCTCTGCCCTTTCTCTTGATCTCGGAGGGGAAAAGGTAAGAGCTGCTGGCACCTTTATGGGCCTCAGACCTTGGCCGCTGCAAGCAGCCTCAGTCCTCTCACTTTGATCAGCCTTATTAATTCCAGCTGCGGTCTATTTGTTTGTCATTTTCCCCCTTTCCTCTGCAATCATTATTTATGGGGGGAAAAAAAAGAGAGAGAGAGAGACCTGCTGTAGAAGGGAGGCAGGGAAGGAATTTCTGAGAACCAAGGAGGTGGGGGCGAGATTTTTCCTTAAAGGTCACTGCAATGGCAGGAGGGGGAAAGGATCCACTTGTCTTGGAATCCATTATCCACAGCATTAACTAATTACCAGATCAGAGAAATGAAAAAAATAAATATCCCTTAAAATCACCAAAGGTAATTATAACCCTGTTGTTGACACTAACAATTAATAATTGATCAGGAGTTACACACAATAAATTGTCAATTTATCTCCCCACAAAAAACTTGAGTGCTTGTGTTGTGTCGAGTTTTGTTTCCTCCCTCTGGGCATTTCCTATGAAGATGGACTCTGTTGCCCTTGGGGAGGCAGCCCCAAACCTTACAGAGCTTCTTTAAAACATTAGGTGTGATTTGTTTTCAGTCCTATACAGAACAAAGTAACACTGGGGACACCTTTTTAAGAAAGACGCTTCCTTATTATTTTGGCGCCAGATTCAAACAAACAGAAAAGAACTCTCTTTCCTTTTACCTGGGATTGCAAAAGAACAGAGGACAGAGATTTCATAACTCATACCTTTTTTATTATATTGCCAGTACAGGCCTCCTAAACAACGTCTTCCATTTTTATCTTTCTTAGAAAGGTGGAGAACATTCTGCTTGCTCTCCCTGTAGGAACACAAGCTTATTCTCTAGTTTGAGGGCAGAGGAGATGAAGGTGCTACCTGCAGCCAGGTGGGACTGGAGACTATTTTCCTCTGTTTGCAGGGATGCAGGTGAGGGGTTAGAGAATAAAAATGGGGGTGTGTATGCCTTTAAACTGGGTTCTGAAGGGCTTTCTTGCCCACCGGTGGCTGAGGTCCAGTTACGTATGGACAAAGAGCAGCTCCACAGAGTCCCAGTCCGATCAGAGAGGGGGGTGAGCGATCACTTTCGTTACAGCCAATGGAAAGCAATTTTCCACAACTGGCGAATTATATTGTCATAGATTACTTCTCCTTATAATAAGCCTTTAAAATATCTGTAGGGATTTGTCACTTACATAAAGGTTTGAAAATTCATCAAAGGGACATGTCCCCTTTGCGATTTGTAGAAATTCAAACGCGTTAATCAGAATATCCACATATCTCAGACTGTGTCTTGTTCTGAAGATCGTCTCTTGGGTTAACACATTTTTAAAACATGTAAGATGTTGTTTTTGGAAAAGTAGTTTTAAAACATATATTTAATAGATCTAGCTATGTCCTTAATTTGGGGTTAAAAATGAATGTTTTGCATGGGATAGTCAGTGCACTGGGTAATTAGACAATCATGTGGTGGATCAGCATTACATGCTGTTACTTGAGGGGAAATTTCTAATCAATCAGCGTATTACTGAAATATGAAAAGGGCTGCTTCTGTCTGGACGGATAAATTGGTATGGGATGTATTTTGTTTATTTCCCAAAGTGATGTCTCTTTAACTCGGCTCTAGCAGTGACAGTTAAGCTACATCTATTCTTTAACGTCCAAAAAAACAAAGTTTCCCACTGTACTTGAGCTTCTTAAATACTTAAACGCAATTTTAAATGAACCTAAACTGCGCCCGAGTTTGGAAGGAGGCGATTTCCTCCCTGTGTTTCTTCGCAGCTGTTCGCAGCGCCGAGTCTGCGAATATCTCCTCAGCAAACGTCCCGAAAAGAGCGCGCGGCCCCGCTGCCACCTCCAAGCGCTCCGCGCGTCCCGGCTGCCCGCGCGGAACCCAGGCCGGGGCCCCCAGGCCCTGGCCTCTCTCTCGCTCCTCGCCCTTCCTGCCTCCTGTCAGACAAAGGTGGACGAAGTTCTTTTCAAGTTCCAAAAGCAGTTGCTGAGCAGCTTTGCAGAAACAATAAGTCTTTTATTGGGAACAAATGTTGACATTTGACGGGCGCAGGAGGCAGCGCCCGGCCGACCGCCAGGCCAGTGCTCCCGGGGTTCTCGGCAGCACCCGTCCCCCAGGGCCCACCTGAGATTAAAGCGCGAATTCCGATAAATCAACTCTAATGAAACCCGGGGCCGCCGACGGCGCAGGGACTGTTGAGGCCGAGGACGCGGGCGCCGGGTCCAGAGAGGGGAGCGCGCTGAGGCCTGCACGGCAGCCAGGGCCAACGAAACGCACCGCAGCGCCCACCTTCGGCCCTGCTCACCCCTGAGCGGCTTTGCCCTCATCCCCCCACCCAGACAACTGCAAAGGGCAAACTGCCGGCTACTTAATTTTGATCAACTAGAGTTCAAAGCAAAGAAAAAAATCGCTTCAGACCCTTTAACTTTCCTCCCCCCAAAATGGTGATCTCTCTGTCTCTCTTCTTCCTCCCTTGTCTTTCCTGGTGATCTGCGTGGGGAAGAGAAGCACTCAGGCATCTCTCTACATTTCTCTAAAGAGATCACTCTAAACACCAGCAGGTCTCATGCGCTTAGTATACATTTAAAAATCAAGTTCTCCAGAAAGAAATTCAAGTCAAGAGGCAGGATGGGTTAGTTATGGAAATCTTTGATAATCTGCTGGGCATATAAACATCAAAGAAGATGCGTTAGCCTGGGCTAATCTCCTGAGTGTTCACGAGTTGAAACTTACACATTGTCCCAGAGACCGAGGGTCTGGAGTGTGTGTGTGTGTGTGTGTGTGTGTGTGTGTGTGTGTGTGTGTGTGTGTGTGTGTGTGTGTGTGTGTGCGCGCGCGTGCATGTGTGTGCAGGGACAGGGAAACAGAAATCACTTGTCCAGGTTAAACAATCTTCCCTGCTCCAAAGGGAGGCAGCTTTTATCGAGCTTCAATTTCTGAACATATGCCTGAAGATGTATTTTTTCCAGGGTTTATAATCTCACATCGCAAGCTTCCTTAACAGAGATATTGCCACAAGTGTTGTATCTTGATTAAAGTGTATGGTCTTACAGCGTTTCTTTAATTTGTTAAATATTGTTAACTTTCACGCTTATCACTGAAGTCTTCAAAACACCCAGATTATAATGTTACTTAGGAAGAGATATTTCTGCCATGTGTGTTCTATTCCCTGCAGACCTCTGAAATGTGGCTAATGTTAGCAAAAGTCAACTACTTAAGAGCCTCACTTTGCAATCTAAAATGCTTTCTGGAGGGGAAGATATTCTCTCTACAGAAATCCTATGGAGGTTTTACATCTAAAACACAAACAAGCAAACAAGCTTACAGCTGATTTTTACTTCCCTGGAGACTCACGCTGGTTGTTTTCAGACACACCGCCATAGAGAAGCAGCCTTCGTACATGAAAAATCTTTCCTCTCCAACAGATAACTCAGCTCCCAGCATTTCCATTTCTATTACTAAGGGAGGCAGGGATGAGAGAAAAATATTTCTCCACCCCAAAGATTTTTATGCCTAATCTCTAAATGCTAATGTATTCAAAGCCAGTGTATCAAAACAAAGCGCAGAAGTAAGAGAAAACCGAAACCTTGATTTACCCAGTTCTCTGCACAATGAAACCGCAATTCCTCCTCCTCACTGGCGTGGTCTGTGTCCAGTTAACAACCCCCAGGCTTTGCCTCAAGTATCTAAGATTACTTTCAAATACCCTTTCTAACAAGACCCCAGCAAGAGGCCACTAATTTCTACAGCACAAAAAGCCACCGGAGAGAGATCCGTTTGTCAATATCAACTGGTCCAGCAATTTCCCATCCTCAGACACATCAGCCTATCGGAGCTGGCAGATGTTTAGACAAGATTTTATAAATTGTTCAATATCAGCCCATAATGAACCCCAACTGACCATTCCAAAGCAGCTAAAAGCATCCAGGATCTCCCCCGCTGGGATCCAATAATGCTCTCATGCTGCAACATTATTAATCATGGAATAAAATAGATGAGCCTCTTGAAAAATAAGTGTATGATTGATTAAAGGGCAATCTAAGAAGCTATTATTCTTGTTTTATAACCGTAAGTTATATTCACTCAATTTATCTTTGCAGAGGAAATAAATGAGTGTTTGTTTCTTTTCTGAAATTATATGGATATCCATATAACGTTGCTGAAAATTAAAGTGACAGCATTGCTGCTTTTATGATTCTCATCAAAGGGAATATGTTACTTGACTACAAATTTTAGACTTGTCTATAATTAGGAAGTGAGTAACGCAATAAAGACTCAATAATCTAAGGTGGTTTCAACTTCTCCTCCGGGGTAAGGAAAAGAGCCACTGGAAAGAAAACACGTCTCTTCCCCAAGATTTTCGTCTTGAGTTTAATGTGAGTTATACGAAAAGGTGAATAAAGAAATTATTCAATACATTTGAATAATCTATGCCAATCTGGATAACCCATGCTTTAAAAAAACAACAACGATTGCCATCAGTAATTTATTGTGGAGGATGTGTCTATTATCCATGTTAGCACAATTTTTCCAGTTTAGTCGACTGAGGAGGTTTAATAAGCCAGCACCGGATATAAATATAAAACTGATCCCACCCTAAAGCATAGTGGTATCACAGCATTTTATTTTGCCAAGGTTCTTCTGTATATTAGCAAGTAATTTGCATATTCAGAGCACAAAAACTTAGGTTTTTTGCAAGGCATTTGTATTTAAATGATCTAGAACCTTAGGTATCGCCCTACTGCGCATTTCTCTTCTGCCTTTTTTGTGAGAGGGAGATGGGAGAGATCATTTCACACAGTGTCATAAAAAGCCCTGATGTCAGATCACCCCACCCAGGGGACTAGAATAAGGGTTCCTTACCCAAATCGCTTTTCCAGGAAAAATGAGCCCCAAACACCATATTGTTGTAGACTAGTCTGTTTTTATTTACAATTTAGGATATAAATTAGTAAAGAATTCTTGTTAAACAACCAACAAAGATTGTATAACCAGCAATGTTCAAATAAAAACCAGGCAGAATTTATTTACAAAAAGTTTAGATTCCGTTGCAATACAACTTGCATAAGTTACTAGAAGCTTTATATCATTATAAAAATAAATATCAAATTTGTTTCCACTTCTTAAGTACTCAAGTTCTTGAATCACATTTTATTATTTCTACTGTGTACATCTTTTACAAATAAATTTTACAGTCAATCCTATCACACCTATAGAATATATACCGTGGCAATGAAGTGATCAATTCAAGATATCCTGAGGAAAAGAAAACAGATTGTTTGCAAAAGTCACATGTACATCGGGAGAAGCTATACTATGCCAACAAATTCACATATGCCCAACAAAAGTCTGTTCTAATCATTAGAGTCTATGGCATGGTAGTGCTCTGCGGATTCTTCTCACTGACAGTGGCACAAGATGTGATCCAGACTTAGAGATCTGGTTTTTATATCTGTATATTTATTAGCTTAGAAAGCTGGCTTGCTGACTTTGGTTGTTTTTTTTTTTTTTTTTTTCCCAAAGCAATTGTGACACCTACCTGTGGACCAAGGAAAAAACCAAATCATCCCAAATCCTTCAGCTCCACACCAACACCATCACAATACAAAAATGAGTCGATCTGCAAGGGTTCCTTCCGCCTCTTCCCCATCTTCAAGATCTGTGCTTAGTAATTTTGCCTAGTTGTAACGTATTTGGGGAGACACTGCTTTGAGCCAGGCGAACCACAGTGTCCTATCTAGTCCATCTGCCTGATAAAAGAAAGGCTAAGGCTCCTCGGTGCCTCCTCGGTCTTAACTCTGCGACCACCATTAATAATTGGTCTTGATGCCCAAAGTTTCAGTAGCACTAGCTCATCAAAACAGATGTCTATTATGTGTCTAGTGAAGTACAAATGGTTCTAAATTGCATACAAATGCCCAGATTTTAATATTTTTTTTCTCAAAGAGTAAATGACAGCAGTGGTGTAATATATTTCAGTTAAGAACTGATCCTTCAAAAAAGAACTTGAGAGAAAAAGAGAAAATCTACAAAATAGAACGGATACTCTCCTCCTTAAAGGAAAACAAGACCAGAGAAGATTGCAAAGCTCTGTCCTCCAACCCCATGACACAAAGCAGAAAATACACGTTAAGGAAGTTTACAGCGGAATTGCTCCTGGACGTCATCGGGAAGTGCCCACTTACTTGCATTGCTGCACACCGGCCTTCTATAGGTAGGGCTGGACACCCCCGCCAACCGTGCAGCCCTCGCTGGCATCTGTCAGGGGAGGGGGGCTGTTAGTCAGAACCCACCAGAGCCAGCTGCCTGCAAGCCACCACACACACCGGCCCGCACACCCGCTCCCTGCACCAGCAAACAGTTTGGGAATCCCAACTCTCTCCAGCACCACTATCTGACGACTGATTCCAGTTGTTCCCTATTTCTCCTTTCCTTTTCCCGTTCAACTCTCTTTTAAAGTATTCTCAGCTCAACCCTGGATTATGCATAACAGAGGCAATATGGAAAAGAGCAGAGAAAGCAAAAAGGCTCTTATTTACCATGTTGAAGAAGTAATGCCTCTGGGAACACCTAGAATGTTTTGTTTCCTTCCAGCCAGAGGTAGAAAAGGGGACTCAGCTGTGATTCCACTTAACCAACAAAACATGCATAACCTTAAACTTAATTAGAAGGGCTACAGGCTGTAATCTGCATTTTGTGGCAATTTACAGTTGACTAAAAGTCAACCAGTTATGGTGATAATACTCCTAGTAGTTACAATAACAGTGATAATAAAAAGTAAATAATAACGGGGTATGGGTTAGTTCGTGAAAGAAGCCAGAACCATCTCCTCACCTCCCTTTTTGGCTTCATCCTGCCCACCACCCCACATCCCTGGGTCAAACGCGCGGCTTTTTCTATTTTTTTCCTTTTCTCATTTCAGTGACACGGGTTCCCTCTGCCATATAAATGCCCCCCTCCCGGCCCCTCGGGACGCGAATCCCTTTCCTTCCCCGAGGACCCCGAAGGGCCCGGGCTGCCTACCTTTCTTGGGCTCGTAGCCGCCGCCTGGGGGCCGGTAGTGGGCCTCGAGCGGGTGCGCGCCCGCCTTGCCCGCGTCGCTGCCCGCCTTGGGTGCGGTGTGTACCGCCTCGCCGGGGGCCGCGGGCGCCGAGTTGTAGCGCAGGAGCCCCTGGCCCTGCAGCGCCGCGTTCAAGTTCCCGTAGTTTGTGTAGTTACCATAGAAGTGGGACGTGTAGTAGAGGTGGCGGCCGAGCAGCGGCGAGGCGGAGTAGGGAGAGCCGCCCGGTGGCGCCCCGGACGAGGCAGGCGCCGCGGCCGCTGGCAGCCCTGGTGGCCCGCAGCTCGGGCCCAGGCTCGGCTGCTTGAGGTCCGACGTGGCGATCTCAGCCAGCGACCACAGCTTGGGCTTGCTGGCGGGCGGTAGCGCTCCCGGCGACGTCCGGCTGCCCAGGGGCGCCTTGCCGCCACCTCGGGGAGCGGCCTCCGGCGCGGGGCTCAGCAGCGGCGCCTCCACGCCCGTCAGCGGCGACGAGGTCACAGGCTTGGGTGGCCCCAGGTCCCGCTCGCCCTCCTCGTCTTCATCCTCTTCGTCCTCCAGGTCGTCGTACTTGTCCTTGCACTCCGAGCCCGATTCGCACAGGGGGTCCCCGGCGCGGCAAGGCAGCTTCTCCCCGTCCGACTCGGCCGAGCACGAATGATCCGTGAGCGAATCGACATGCAGGCTGATCCCTGCGGGGCCGCGGGCACGGTCGGTGACACGCAGGGACGGCGCGGGCACCTGGGCCCATAGCTCACGTCCCGGGGTACCAAGCCCGCCCCGTACGATCCCTGACCTCGCCCCAACCCTAGCTACGCGTTGCGTGGAGCGTGACCTCCCCGGGAAGCGCCCCGCGGGTCCGTCTGGTGCAGGCAGTGAGTCTCCAGGCCGGACCTGGGTGCCCGGCGGGCAACGCCCTCACAGACCTCAACTCTGCGCCCGCCTGGGAAGAAAGCTCCCCGGACCCCGCGCCGGCCGCGGCCCCACTCACCTTCGTCCTCCGCCGAGGTCTCGGTACCTTCCTGCGCTTTTTCGGGACTCTCCTCCTTGCTCCTCGACCCGTCACCCTCGTCCTCGTCCTCGTCCTCGCTTTTGTTCCTCGGGGCCCACGTCATCTTGTTTTCCTTCTTGAGGCGCCGGCGCGCGTTGGCGAACCAGGTGGAGACCTGCGTGAGGGTCATCTTGGTGATGATGGCCAGCATGATCTTCTCGCCCTTGGTGGGGTAGGGGTTCTTGCGGTGCTCATTAAGCCAAGCCTTGAGTGTGGCCGTGGCGTCCCGCGTGGCGTTCTTGCGGTACGCCGGGTCGTTGAGTTGGTACGGGTAGGCCGCGCTGCCATACGGGTGGTAGCTGATGGCGCCCGTCATCCCGGTCGTATGCGCGTCGTAGGGCGCGCCCTAGAATCGACAAGAACTTTGTGAGTGGGGCGCGCGGTAACCCTCCAGGCGTTAGCCGGCGGCGACCCCTAGCCGGCCGGCGGCTGTCTTTCCCACGGTGGGTCTCCCACACTGGGGCAACGCTTCCCACAGCAAAAGAGCAGGGAAAACACAGCGAGTAATTTACAGCCAGCAGTTGACCCGAAAAGTGCTCTAGTTTAATTCTTGACCATTTGAACTATTTCACTTTTATAAAATGACATAACTTCCCCCAACTGACCCTGAGTCGCGTGGACACAAACACACGCGCGCACAGGCCTACAGGTAGGTTCTTGATATCTAAATTTCTCCCGATCCTTCAAGTGCGGCTGCCTCCCCCTGCTCCCTCTCACTCGCCCTTATTTGGTTAAAGAATCACCCCGAAGCCCCCGCTCCGCCATTCACTGCTCTAAAGCTCCGCAAATCCAATTTGCAACTCAGAAGCCAGTCACCGTTTCGAATTCTTCAAATACGCGGTAATTAGCATTTTAGTTCAGCTTTTAACGTTTAAATTCGAGGCAGTTGCAGTCTTCGCCGAAGCCCCGGCTCCTCAGTTACTGCCCTGGAATTCCACCGAGGGCGGGCAGCAGCGACACTCTTCCCCAATAGCCTCGGTCGCCCAAAGCCCGCTTCGCCATTGCCGGGCCCAGTTGCCGACCCGCGCGGGGTGCGGGCCAACCCCGGGTCGGGAGCTGGAGCTGCTCGCGAGGCGAGGCGAGGCGAGGGGAGCCGAGGAGCACTTCGCGGGCGGCAGGAATGAGATAAGGGCCGAGGAATGGGCGCGCCGGGCCGAGACCGGAGTTCCGCTGCCCCCGGCGCCGCCGCCGGATGTTAGGCTCCCGCCCCGAACCCCGTTACCCCGTCGTCCCAAAGCCCGAAAGTAAACGCATGCCGCCCGCGGCCGCCCCAAGACCCGAGCGGCGCTGGCCCTCCGGCCCCGCGCAGACACGGGTGTCCCCACGGCTCACTCGGGACGCCTCGCCAAGCTGCAGCGGAGGAACAACGAGGACAACCCACAGCGGACCCCAGCCCCAGCCAAGTCGCACTTTCCAGTCTCTTTACGAAAATGCCCCGGAGCCCAGGCGCAACGGTGCGAGGCGCGAGTCGCAGCCCTGCCTCCCGATCGTCCCCCGCCGCCGCACTGCTTCCAGCGCCGGCCTCTTCTCCCTCCTGCGATCCCGCTCACCCAGCCGGTCCCCGTGCCCCGGCCCCCCGCTCCCTGCTCCCCGCCCGCCGGGCCGGCGCCGCGCGGTTACCATGTAGGACGGGAAGCCGGCGGCGGCGGCCGCGTCGACCGAGTACTGCAGCGGGCTGCCGAAGCCGGTGGCCGCCTGCGCCGTGAAGGCCGCGGAGCCCGGGTAGGGGCTGAAGGCCGAGCCCGACGCCGAGCGCGCCAGCTCCTCGCTGCGAGGCGCCGCCAGGGCCGACGCGCCGTACGCCGGGCAAGAGTAGAGCGCCAGCGAGCCGGGCGCCTGGTACAGGTAGCCCTGCGGGTAGGACATGGTGGGCGCGGGGCGCGGGGCCCGCGTCACGGCGAGCGGCGGGC